CCTTGGGACCCCCCCCCCCCCCTTTTTTTGTTGTGCTAAGTGGATACATTCAGAGGTTGTGGGCAAAGCATGGAATCAACAAGATTTCTATGTTGGAGAATGAGATTACATTAGTTCGATTTGATTCAGATGAGGGGAAAATGAAGTGATACAAGGGGAAATTTATCATTTCGATAATAAAACATTTATAGTTAAAGCATGGAATTCGGATATGAAATTTACAAGAGAATAACTACTTACAGTTCCTATATGTATCAAGCTACCCGGCCTTCAATTCAAATACTGGAGTCCTAAGGTCCTAAGCAAAATAGACAGTTTAATTAGGAAATCACTTCTTATGGATCACAATACTGAGAAAAAAATGGGGCTCAGTTTGTCTAGGTTATTGATAGAGGTAGAAATGCATGCTAAGCTTCTTGATGTGATAATGTTCAGGAATGAGAAGGGAGTACTATTAGAACAAAAGGTCCAATATGATTAAAAAACCTACATTATGCAATTTATGCCGCAAGTATGGGCACTCCGAAGAGGAATGTAGAAAGAAGAAGGTTACAAAATCTGGATCACCAAAACAAAGAGAACATGTGAGGAAGGAGAAACCAGAAGAACAGAAGGAGAAACAAAGGGTGGATATTGAAGAGGCAGGGAATCAAGAGAAGATACACTATGTTAAAGCAGTAGCCATGACTGGGGGGGAGGGGAATGACACTTACTGAATCATCTACCAACTTAGTGAAGACTCAAAATGTGCAGAGTGGGTGACCAATTGATCAGACCACATGGTGGATTACTCTAGTGAAAGTAAGAAAGCAGCAGTTCAGACAAAACTAGCAAATGATCAATAAATATTCATTCCAAGTTCTTGACAAGGAAAGGAATAATACTCAGATTCAATCAACTCAGTTGAAAATGAGGGAGGCTAGCTTATTTCTCTCTCAGTAAATGGTTAGTCTTTTAAGTTGGAATGTAAGGGGCCTCAATGGCCATAATAAGCAGAAGGAGGTCAGACTCCTCTGCAATGAACAAGAAGTAGGACTAGATGGTTTATTATAAACAAATGTCAAAGCTAATAAGATTGAGGGTCTAGGAAACAAATTGTTTGCAGGCTGGCAATATGTCACAAACCTAAAACATCATTACAATCGTAGAATTTGGATTACTTGGAGGCAAGATTATTATCATGTAACTCCTGTTACTAGTTCAGCACAAGCAATTACTTGCAAGGTGAGGTATACTCCTATGTAGGTGATATTTATGCTGACCTTTGTGTATGCTTTTAACCAAAGGGCAGAAAAGAGGGAATTGTGGAGCTATTTGGAGAATTAGAGTATAGGGTGTAATATCCCTTGGTTAGTCCTAGGTGATTTCAACTCAGTGTTGCACCAGGAGCACAGAATTAGAGGGAATCCTATAACTTTAGTTGAGATGCTGGACTTTCACACTTGTGTAGAATCATGTGGACTGCTAGAACTTCCAACTCATGGTAGTCAATATTCATGGAATGATAAACAAGGAGATCAAAGGTGTTTACAAAAATATACTGGGCTTTTGCTAACAATAAGTGGTTAATTGACATGCCTGCCTATGCAGCCATATTTCTGCTTGAAAGCATAAGTGAACACTACCCAATTAAGCTATGCTGAATACTCCTCCTAGAGTAAGGAAGCCATTTCAATTTTGTAATATTTGGTCGAAACATTTTCAGGTTGCTGATAAAGTGAAAGAGGTATGGTAAGTCCAATTATATGGATGTAAAAAGCTACAAGTGGTAAAGAAACTTAAGTTACTAAAAAGGAAACTGAAAGAGCTGAATGGGCAACATTTCAGAAACATTCTAACAGAGGCAAGTGAAGATAGGAAGCTCCAGTTCTGGCTCATAGATCTTTGCAAGCCAACCCTTTGGATCCAGTGCTTCAGCAAGATGAAAAAGTGAAGTATCAGAAGTACATGCAATCATCTTATCTGGTTGAGTTGTTCCTGCAACATAGAAGCAAGGCAACATGGATCAGACTAGGTGATGACAATACAAAATATTTTTTCTCAGTTATAGGGATAATACATAAGATGCATCCTGTACTTGTGCAGAAAAATCAGTTTCACACTTAACCTTTACGGGCGTTCTTTTTCCATCTTATACTTGTTCGAAGTGATTTAAAACCTCCCCGAGACATATACAACCAGTCGCACAGTAGAAGGTGTTGCACCCTCTCCCTATGTCTTGACCACATATTACCACACCAGATTCACTTTGATTTAACTTCTTCTTCTTTTTCTAAAATTTTTTTTACTCCTTTTCCTTATTCTTTTATTTATAAATTTGCGTCTCTTTCCTTATATTTGTTCTGAAAATCTCTTCTCTCAGACTCCCTTCATACTCTTTACTCCAATCAAATTTTTTAAATTTAGATAAATAGTTTTCAGGTTAATTACGATTTTTGGCATTGTAATACCAAGAGGAAATGGGTTGAGAAGAGAGATATGAACGTGCTTGGAGTTTGACCGGAGAAAATGAAAGCTCGCCCACGTCGGAGGAATTTTTTCGGCCAACATCTGGTCGGATTTTATAGATTAATTGACTTTTTCCATGTTAAATCATTTTCATGGGTTTTCATTAATCAAATATGAAAATACAGTCGATGATTTTTGCACTCTTTGATTAATTTTCCATCTTAATTTTCTGTAAGGAAGAGGAAAGGGGATCGACATCAATGGAGGTTTTGCTGATAGAAAAATAAAAGGATGAGGAGAGACAAGAAAAGTTGGGGAAAGAAAAGGAAAAAGAAAAAGAAAGAAAAGAGGGTCACGCCTAATTAAGTTAAGTGTATTAAATACATAATATCCAATAAATATTTGATACGTGTACAATTTAATGAGTTTTAAACCTTTTTTGGGCTCTTCACTCGCTTTTAAGAAGATTTCTTTTTTCTCGTTGCCACGTCATCTTTCAGGGAGGTATTAAATTCACTTCGGACAAGTATAAGGAGGTAATGGGACGCCCATAAAGGTTAAGTGTGAAACTGATTTTTCCGCACAAGTACAGGATGCATCTTATGTATTATCCCTTATAAAATTAGGAAGATGCAACAAGCTATTACTCAGCTACATGATAAGAATAATAGGGTGCAAACAGAATCTAATGCTATAGCTGGAATACTGGTGGAGTACTATGAAGAACTATTGGGGAGGAAGGATACAACAAGAATAAAAGCTCATACAAGATTGTTGAAGAATGGTCCAACACTGAGCATAGAGTAACAAATTGAGTTAGTAGAGCCTTTCACAGAGAGGGATGTTAAAGAAGCTATGTTTGGAATAGATAATACANTTAATTCCTGTTTATCTACTTCTATGCATGTGGGGAGGAAAGAAACGTCTGTACTCAGCTACAATAAGAGTCCTTGTCCGGATATATATAAAAGTAGATTTTATAAAAAGCTGCATGGGAAATAATAGGCAAAGACATAACTGAAGCAATGTTAGAGTTAAATTTTAACAATGGAAAATTGTTGAATCAAGTGAATGCTACCATGGTTTCCTTGATTCCAAAAGTCAAAGTTTCGGAAAATGCTAGCTAGTAATAGACCCAT